AATATAACCATATATTAATTAATATAGCTGTGATTTCGACAGAACTATTCCTCCTTATGATGTCTTATTTTGAAAATATGGAAGTCGTGCTTGTTCCTTTTCCTGTTGGTGTGATGTGATCTCTGTAGATTGACTCTGTAGCAGCTCCAGCGTCTGACAGGAATTGCTTCAAGAAGTATTTTTTTTCAAGTAACATTTATGAAAGTCATCCAAATTGATCAAACATTCAATTAAATATTTCCCAGATTAGTTACATTTATCTGTAATCAAATTAAAGGATTTTGTAATGAATGTAAATATAGTTGCATTAATTCAGAGCCAACATACAGAAAGTTACAGCAGGCCTGACAAACATCTGTATTGTTCTTTAAAGACAAAATGAATCATATAAAAGCAAAAGCATTTATAAAACCTGTAGAGCTGACGGCTCATTACAGGCATGGTTATTTCTTGGGATGATGAACTCTTCCATCAGTTTTTCATTTGCAGATTTGGTGACAACAACTACTTTCTCCATTAMTGTGTTGTTTGGAAACAGTTTTGTCTGTCTGTACCCTAAACAGCTGATATTATTTTCTGACCAATCAGGTTCCCATGATCCTGGTGGGAAACAAGTGCGACCTTGAGGATGAGCGCGTGGTCGGCAAGGAGCAGGGTCAGAACCTGGCTCGTCAGTGGAACAACTGTGCCTTTTTAGAGACTTCAGCTAAATCAAAGATCAATGTTAATGAGGTGAGTGTTCAATCCACACGCAGCAAGTATCCAGCGTGTTTCAGATTGATTTTATTGATAAAGCTCTGCTTGGACTAGAATTTCAAAAGACACCACTTTTAATCTGTTTGTACCTTCTTTAGCATTTAAACACAAAAAGCCAAGCAGGTGGTTTGCATGTCTGATATTTGAACTGTGACCAAAAATAAAACCAAACATGTCCACCATTTCATGTGTTTCAGCTTAAAGGTCAAAAAACATCTTATAAATAACATCTAGAGCTTAGTTATTTTCCTTTTTGACAAAATGCATAATCCTATTCTTTTTTTTTTTGTAGATTTTCTATGATCTGGTGCGGCAGATCAACAGGAAAACGCCGATGGAGAAGGCAAAAAAGAAGTCAGGTTGCACACTGCTCTAAGATGCTCTCTCATGGATACTCCAGGCCAGGTGAGTCAGAGTAGGAACTAAATTTATTCCAGACATTTGTCTTGTTAAAACAGTTATTAATAACAATGACTGTAAAGAAGGAGGTGGTTTGTTTCAGTGACAAATAAATAAAACCTCAAAAATCTAAAAGTTACAACTTCTTAAAGTTAAAGGCCGTCAGTATGCTCAGTTTTTTATAGACCGATTAAAATAAATTAAAAATAATGAAGATGCACTATCCAGGGTCACCTAAACAAATTATAATTAGAAAATTCACTTCTTATTATTTGAGTCAAGTAATCTTTAAAATGTTTTCTTGCTGTGGAAGCTTAAATATATTTTAATTTGATTATTATTCTGTTACTGCACATTCAAATCTATAATCAACAACAAAGCAGGCATCATGCTTCATTGTTGTGACGGATCAAATTTTAATCTAGAGAAAACAGCAGGATAACCCTGAAACTTAAGGGGTGGTTCACAAGTTTTAAGATTTTCACAAGCGTACAAACTGTGAGGAAGGGGTCACGGACAGAAAAACACGATGAAATGTTTTTGATRCACCCTGTTTAACCGGCATGTTACTAATCTCCTACAGTGCAAATATTGCCACACAAATTTTCTTGCATGCAATTAACAGCACAGCATCTTCCATGCAGTGCAAACACAGGAGCTTTGTGTTGCCGATGTTAGTTGAGGTTTTCACCACACTGGAGTTCCTGGTCACCAGAGCCTTTCAGAGGAAGCCGATCAGTGACTCGTTTCTTCACATTAAGTACTTAATAAACAAATCTCTAAGTTCTTCAAGCTCCTGAGTCCCTCTGTGTTCACAGTAATTATTGTTAAACACATGCGTAAAGTTGGAAATGCCTCAGCCTCAGAAATGCACCACTGTAGACTTTTATATGATTCACAATAAAAATGTGTAGTTTATGTCCAACACAACACCACTGAATGAGAGACGACGGACAGCCAACCGTTTTACTCCAAAAATTGTCTGTTTTTAGCCTGGTAAAAACCAGACCCTCGTCCTTCACTTTGCTTCATACGAGGGTCTGGACTCTCGGCTATAGAGAAGTGATTCTTGCTGGAGGCGTGGCCTCTGCTGTTAAAATGAGGCTGCGACGTTTGTAGCCAGCTCCACTGTGATGGTGCGTTCACACCGAACGCGATTTCAGCGTCAGGAGCAGCAGGTTTACATGCAAAGTCTGTGGTGGACGCGCTT